ATGGCTTTGGGTAAAAAGAGTGTGTGAGAGCATATAATGTAAAGAAAAGTCATAATGCCAGATCAGACAGAGTTCGGGAATGCACACTCCTTCACTCTTGCGCTAATCAGGTCTTAGAGGCCTACTCCATGTTGAACCAGAATCTGAAGAATGTAGGCCAAAATAAAACCCAGGCTCTAACACAACAATCTGAGGAGAACCAAGACTGACAGCCTTAATAATACACATATTTACTACCATAATAAGACTGCCCCTAGTCGGATGAGGGTGTTCATCAATGGTGTGCAGATGAGCAGTATATAGACATTTTTATGTATTGTTATTCAAGCATGTAATGCATTCATCAGAGAAAAACTATATTAGATTCAGATTCAGATTCATTTATTTGCCATTTTGCAGTAAAACCACATAGGAAAAACTGTGCAAGATACCCCGGTGTGCACCAGACGACACACACCAGAGCTCTTGCCTCTCTAAATATAGCTCTATAAGAGCTATATTTCCAGTTTTAGATTATGATTGGACGGTACGGAGACCATTCAAAGCAGCTATTATTAGCAGCCATTTAGGTATTGAAGAAACTGAACCTGAGCATAAAGTGGTGTGTAAAAATAACACTTTAGGTGAATAAACAGGAGACTGCTACAGGCCTCTAAACAAGAATTAAGCATAGATTGGCCTATATTGCAGCAATCAGGAACTAGTTCAAGATGTGCCAGGCCACATGTAGGCTTTACTACGCTACAGCTTCAGTCAACTTAGTGTGTTTGAAACCATCATAATACCCTACCAATACTGGGGCAGTTAGAAAGGTTCATCATCATTGTCTCGCAAAGTTTGCTAAATTAGGTTGAATTCATTTATTTTATTTAAGTGCAGCTCCCAAAATCACACCATCAGCGATCTCAAGGACACAGAACAGCAGAGCGGAGACAGGTCCAGTCCAGCATACAACTATGGAGGAAGTGCTTTACCGTGGTCGTTCTTTCTACATTCTTCATTGACTGATGGAGTCTGAAAAACGTATACTATCTGATTATTCATCAGAGATGGTAAGTAACTTACTTACTGTAAGTACTGTAATGTTTTCATTGTATTTGTAGTTCACTTTAAATCAACTTCTTACTATTACTCCTTACTTTTAAAGATAAATATATGCACTTATGTATGAACTGATATATCCAAAACAGATGGTTAAATTTGAAAATATTTGTATGAAGACAAAAGATTGTCACATGGACGTTATTACAGGTTTGAAGTGGTTTTCAATATTATCTGCGGAATCAAATACTTAAAATAAATATGTACTGTAATCATAAATATGATAAATTATTGAGCAAATAATAAGATTTTACTTGAGGGGACAGTATGTACCGTATTTTCTGGACTATTATTTCTTTGAACCCTGCGGCCTATACAGTGATGCGGCCAATGTAGGTATCGTTAGTGTTAGAGCGCCCCCTAGGGTGAGGGAACGGGACTTAGACACAACTATCAGCCGTTGATCTCCACAGCTGATGACGTTGCACACATTCCTGCTTCCCTATGGGTTTATGTGAACAGCGCAAGGAGAAGACACAGGGACGTGTTGAGAAAATACAATGGACTTGTTTATGTGATTTGGGCGGTTCTAAGACTGTATGGACTTATTATTTTGACTGCATTAAGTTTAAGTAGCTACAGGACACACGTTTACTGTAAAAATAGATTGATAGATGAGTCCCGACATAGAAGCTAACAGTCAAGATAAGGGTGTAATTTGCCTATGAATCATGTTGTGGCCAGTTTAGGCAAGTTTATTAGTATAGCACATTTCATACAGGCAACTCAAAGTGCTGAAAACAACAAGGTAGCATTAAAATCATAAATAATCACAGTACATTAAAAAGAAAGATAAAAATATAAAATACCTCAGTTGTATGCACAGCTAAACAGAACTGTTTTAACCTGTTTTTAAACATTGTCAGAGAGGAGGCCTGTCTCACATTTTCAGGGAGACTGTTCCAGATTTTAGCAGCATGAATCTGAAAAGCAGCCTCCCCATGTTTAGTTCTGACTCTGGGCACTAACAGGAGTCCAGTCCCTGTGCTCCTCAGAGTCCGGGCTGGTTCATATGGGACTAACATGTCACTAATATATTTTGGTGCGAGGCTATGGAGAGATTTGTACACAAGCAGAGCTGTTTTAAAGTCTATTCTCTGAGCCACAGGAAGCCAGTGCAGAGACCTGAGGACCGGACTAATGTGGTCGTACTTCCTGGTTCTAGTCAGGACTCGAGCTGCTGCATTTTGAATGTACTGCAGCTGTTTTACAGCCTGTTTGGACAGACCTGTGAGCAGGCCATTGCATGTCTAACCTACTGGAGACAAATGCATGGATAAGAATCTCCAAGTCTGCTTTAGACACTATGTTTTTGATCTTGGCAATGTTTTTTAGGTGGTAAAAAGCTGCTGATGTTCCTCATTTGATGTGGCTAGTAAAATTTAAGTCTGAGTCCAGTATTTCCCTTAGTTTACAGTTGTCTATAGTCTTTGATTTGTTACATTACAACATAAACATCTGCAGCTTATCTTCATTTGTCTGTATGTGGACAGCATTTACTTTCTTTTCTAATTCAGCTGATGCAGTTCATATACAGGTCCACTTAACAGTCCAGTAAAAACTGCAATATGTTTTATTACATATCCATGTTATCTGTGTCACCGGACATCAGGTCAATGTGTCAATGTCTATGGCTGTAATCACCATCTGTTTTTATAATCAATAAATTGATGAAAGGGCTCGTGCTATGTGTACTGGGTGCAGCTTTGACTGCCACCCCCCCCCCGACCCAGAAATGGATTAAGGGGAAGAAAATGGATGGATGGATGGAAATTGATGAATGGTCTACAGATGAATTGACTAGCTAGTTAATTAGATTAAGAAGGCCACTAGAGAAAATGTTCATAGGGATGAGTAATTGATTATCTGATTGAATATAAAATACAAACCTGTTTCAGTCATAAATCGTCTTTTACGCAGCACAGTAGCACTCGTGCTTCACAGCAACACGGTCTTGGGTTCAATCCCCATCTCAGCCTGAACCTGTATGCACTTGTGCGCATGTTTCTCCCCGTGTCTAGGTGGGTTTCCTCTGGGTGCTCCAGTTTCCCCCCACCACCCAATAAAATGCAATCCTCCAACTCTGGACTTGACCAAGAGCATGAAGATCTGGAGAAGGTCCCGTGGTGCTGAGCTATAGCGACCACTGCTCCTGACAGGTTGCCCTGCAGTGGTATTGTAGGAGCGTCAAATAAATCAGTGCATGAGTTACTACATTAGTATTTAAATAATTAATTAGTTACAGTGAATCGATTTGAACTTGTTACATTTCCAGCTGATTTATTCTTGATTTCAAAAACAATGGAAAAGCTAGCAAACATTTATGTTAACATTTGATCATTTGTTTAGCAAGCCATGATTACCCAATGGGGTTGCCAGTTTCTGTGTGTAATCCAGCTGGTTTGGTCTCCACCTGAATCTCAGCAGCAGAAGCATAAGTGGTCTGTACTTAACATACAAGACATACAAGAAACTGGGAACAAAGGTTTAGGTTGCATTTGGAAGCAATGTTGTGAAACCAGTGAGATCAATTGAGAGTATTTATATTCAGTGACGCATATGGGAAAAGCATGTGATTTTTTGTTTAACTCTTTTCAAGACAGGAAAATCCTTCATCACTTCAACTTATCTATACTTGTACTGTATATGTACTATGTATAAAGCAATATATTACAATAGCAGACATTGAAGTAAATGGCAATCTCAAACAGGCAACAAGGATAACAAAAACTACCAAATACCTCCAGAGAGAAAGGCAGGTCCTAAGATGCCAACTCACTGGCGAGAACCCAGACAATCAACAGCTAAGCCCTGTCAGTGATCAGATACCCTGCAGGAATAATCAGACAGCCAAAGAAGAGATTCAAACCACAGATGTTAAAACTCAAAAGTTCCTCACCATGCATGGCGGGTTCCATCCCAAATCCAGCACCCTGAGCTTTTATTACAATGGACTACGTGAACAGTGAGACTGTAGTGCACTGAGCAGAACTAAGGAAGATCAAGGGTAACTTTATGTAATCATCTGTTTTTGATCCATCCTTCAGCCACTATAGAACAGAACGTCTTTATAATCTATCAATATACGTTTCTCTTCATTCACTATAGCAGCCGAAGGAGCAGTCTGAGAGGAGCAGTCTGAGAGGAGCAGCCTGAGAGGAGCAGTCTGAGAGGAGCAGTCAGAGAGGAGCAGTCAGAGAGGAGCAGTCAGAGAGGAGCAGTCAGAGAGGAGCAGTCAGAGAGGAGCAGTCTGAGAGGAGCAGTCTGAGAGGAGCAGTCTGAGAGGAGCAGTCTGAGAGGAGCAGCCTGAGAGGAGCAGTCTGAGAGGAGCAGTCTGAGAGGAGCAGTCAGAGAGGAGCAGTCAGAGAGGAGCAGTCAGAGAAGAGCAGTCAGAGAGGAGCAGTCTGAGAGGAGGAGCAGTCTAAGAAGAGCAGCCTGAGAGGAGCAGTCTGAGAGGAGCAGTCTGAGAGGAGCAGCCTGAGAGGAGCAGTCAGAGAGGAGCAGTCTGAGAGGAGCAGTCAGAGAGGAGCAGTCAGAGAGGAGCAGTCTGAGAGGAGCAGTCTGAGAGGAGCAGTCTGAGCGGAGCAGCCTGAGAGGAGCAGTCAGAGAGGAGCAGTCAGAGAGGAGCAGTCAGAGAGGAGCAGTCAGAGAGGAGCAGTCAGAGAGGAGCAGTCAGAGAAGAGCAGTCAGAGAGGAGCAGTCTGAGAGGAGGAGCAGTCTGAGAGGAGCAGCCTGAGAGGAGCAGTCTGAGAGGAGCAGTCTGAGAGGAGCAGTCTGAGAGGAGCAGTCTGAGAGGAGCAGTCTGAGCGGAGCAGCCTGAGAGGAGCAGTCAGAGAGGAGCAGTCTGAGAGGAGCAGTCAGAGAGGAGCAGTCAGAGAGGAGCAGTCAGAGAGGAGCAGTCAGAGAGGAGCAGTCAGAGAAGAGCAGTCAGAGAGGAGCAGTCTGAGAGGAGCAGCCTGAGAGGAGGAGCAGTCTGAGAGGAGCAGCCTGAGAGGAGCAGTCTGAGAGGAGGAGCAGTCTGAGAGGAGCAGCCTGAGAGGAGGAGCAGTCTGAGAGGAGCAGCCTGAGAGGAGCAGTCTGAGAGGAGCAGTCTGAGAGGAGCAGTCTGAGAGGAGCAGCCTGAGAGGAGGAGCTCCTCTCAGGCCTGAGAGGAGCAGTCTGAGAGGAGCAGTCAGAGAGGAGCAGTCAGAGAGGAGCAGTCTGAGAGGAGGAGCAGTCTGAGAGGAGCAGTCTGAGAGGAGCAGTCAGAGAGGAGCAGTCTGAGAGGAGCAGTCTGAGAGGAGCAGTCTGAGAGGAGCAGCCTGAGAGGAGCAGTCTGAGAGGAGCAGTCTGAGAGGAGCAGTCTGAGAGGAGCAGTCTGAGAGGAGCAGCCTGAGAGGAGCAGCCTGAGAGGAGCAGTCTGAGAGGAGCAGTCTGAGAGGAGCAGTCTGAGAGGAGCAGCCTGAGAGGAGCAGTCTGAGAGGAGCAGTCTGAGAGGAGCAGCCTGAGAGGAGCAGTCTGAGAGGAGCAGTCTGAGAGGAGCAGTCTGAGAGGAGCAGTCTGAGAGGAGCAGTCTGAGAGGAGCAGCCTGAGAGGAGCAGTCAGAGAGGAGCAGCCTGAGAGGAGCAGTCTGAGAGGAGCAGTCTGAGAGGAGGAGCAGTCTGAGAGGAGCAGCCTGAGAGGAGCAGTCTGAGAGGAGCAGTCTGAGAGGAGCAGCCTGAGAGGAGCAGTCTGAGAGGAGCAGTCTGAGAGGAGCAGTCTGAGAGGAGCAGTCTGAGAGGAGCAGGCTGAGAGGAGCAGCCTGAGAGGAGCAGTCTGAGGTTCAATGGTAGCTTCCCCATATGTTGATAGCTGCAGGATTTTACCTACAGTGCTTTGTTTTGGGCAATGTTTTGGGCGTAGGGGGGAATGGGAGGAATGGGAGCACCCGGAGGAAACCCACCAGATACAGAGACAAATACGTAAAAACTACACAGAAAGGCCTGAGCTCTTGTTTCACACAAACCAGTTTCAGAGTAGGGCATGAATTCTTGTTTAATTATTATAAATCATATATTTTAAAAACATATTTATGGACAGTTTTGTAGAAGGTAAAAAGTTAAAAGTTAATAATAATGAAAAATGATCAATTGCAGCTAAATCAATACTAAAATCATGGCTAGCTGCAGCTCAGGTTTTGCATCGGTGCCGGAGCTGCTGATGCTGATTGGAATGAACAAGTAAATACTTTCACATCAAATGACCCTCAGTAGGTGAAAATGGAAGTGGGATTTTAGGCCACTTGGTCCAGTCCCAGGAGGCTCCCCATAAACCACTCATTAAATACTCAACCTGCGGCTTGACAAGCAACACTGGGATTACAGTAATTGTGGACATAGGGCCATTAATAAATAGGTCAGAAGTTTCCATTGTTTGTCTGCTTCTCTTTCAGAACATAAGGTTTGAAATACGCCGCTTTAACCCCAAACAATCTTAATGTTGATTTTTGACACTATTTGTTAATATTAATGTATATTCTTTTGTCAACAGTGAACAATGTAAATGTATTTGTACTCTTTAAGTCAGTTGTAGTAGGACTAAAAACATGCACTACTATTGCCACTGTTTCTTTAATTTTATTGTTCATAATATATCCTGAAAATACTTTTTTTTGCCTTTAGCATGTTTGCACACTTCTGTATTTTGCACAAATCTAAGTGATTCTATCCATGCCAAATGTGACATGTAAATTTCTCCTGTGTGAGATCAATAAAGTGTATCTCATCTGATCTTATCTTATTTGTGGAGATGTCAGTGAAAAGTATTGCAAGATGCAGGTGAAGTCTGCACGGTGAAATTGTTGGTGTGTTGTAATACATTTGCTTAAGAACTAAAACCAGTTGAGTGCATTATTTTGTACCAGACTGTGCTGCCGCTACAACAAGCAGTGACGACTTAATTAAGAATGACTTAAGAGTTCAAAGACTTTGAACCATGAGTGTGCGGAGCTCAGGTGGACGGGAAACTGTGACCCCAGCGTCCCTTCCAAGAACAATGTGTAAGGGCTGATGCAAGACCAGTGCTAAAACAGTTCGTGGAGGAAATAAAACTGGGAATATAAGAGCAATAATGTCAATGGGGAGGTAAAGGTTGACATATTTATATATATTTATTTATCTAAACAAGTTAAAAGTAAAACATGATCACAACCAAATGAAAAATATCTGCTAAAACCACATTTTGACAATATGTTTTGCATGTATTAGCATCTATACTTTATCTCATACTGTCTATCTCCATATCTGTCTATCTCCATATCTATATATCGGTTATAACAATATAAACATGTGTTGCATAATGTCAGCATTAAATTGTTTATGGGTATGTATTCATATATAATGTTGCAAATCTGTGTTATTAACATTAGATTTTACATCTCTCACCTCAAGTTCTAGTAGCAGCTTACCACCATTAGTGTGGAGTGAGTTAAATAATGCAAATTAAAGCTTCTGCATGCTCAAAACAGTGCAATAGAGAATGCATTTTTAGGACACAAGTTCACTGGTAAGGCTAAACTACAGTGCATGCAGAATTACAATGGAATGTCACTCAGTTAAGCTGTAGTAAAAAGGTTGGAAAGTGTATCAAAACAAAAAATTAGTAATAAATGAGTTAAATATATAATAAATGTATATATGAACAATTTACTTTTTCAATTGATTCCTATTTTGTTGGGAAGCATTGAAAACCACCAAACCGCTCTGGAGGCCAGGTAAACTAAATTAGGTGAGGTAAACATATTTTCACAAGCCGAGCACACACACAGGGCATGAGGGGTCCGCAGGGTGTGAGGCTGTCACTCATTAGCCACTCGACTGCATTTATGGGCTGGACAGAAGGAGTTATCGTCACCAACATAATTTCAGACACAAGAACAAGAAAGACTAAAACAGGTCCTCAAACAAGATGCCCCACCTGATAAACCTGAGCAGTGGCATTGCACCATTCCCAAATGTCCCACGTGCTCATTGACTGAGGGAGGGGAGAGGGGTAAATGGTTGAATGAAGCAGAGAAGGATGGTGGAAGGGAGGAGAAAAAGAAACAGTGTAATCATTAACATTGACTGGAAGTGATGGGAGATAAGGTCCCTGCTCAGAGCGTACAGGAAGTGACCAGAGGGGCTGAAGCAGTGCTCCTCGCTGATGTCGCAGTTTAAGCCAAAAAGGCATCTTCATCTCAGAGCAGAAAGCACTCCACCTCTTTCTATGAATACCTGGAACTTCCTGTTTAACCGCAGAGGCTTGACTATTAATCCTGAAAATTCAGAGCATTTGTCAAGCTCTGAATACAAGAATATTTAGGGAAACTGCTGATTGGACTTCAGGTTGAGCAGCAAATGATTTAATAATATGCCCCATGAATAATGCATTACATAACTATTTCATTTTTAAAATCTGTGTGGGTTTCTTTTGTGTTGTGTTTTGTGACAGGTTGGGGTTTGCCTCACCTTTTTTAAATTCCTCCAGCATTGCATCCAGCTTGGTGTCATTGAAGACAAAGTGCAGCTGGTGGCTGTAAAACTTGGTGATAGTTTTGAGTGGGGTGCAGTCATCAGGGTCCACAAAGGCCAGGTCTTTGACAAACAGCAAATCCACGATATTAGACCTTTCGCCCTCAAACACGGGGATCCGAGTGTAGCCACTCTTCATAATCTCAGACATGGTGTTGAAGTCCAGGGTGGCGTCAGCTGGGATCATGAAGCAATCTCTCAGAGGGGTCATCACGTCCTCCACAGTTTTAGTTCTGAGCTCCAAAGCACCTTGGATGATGTTCAGCTCCTCCTTCACAAGGTCATTGTAGGGGTCTGTCACACGCAGCATCTCCAGCAGCTTCTCCCGGTTGTAAACAGTGCCAATCTCTTGTCCCAGCAGGTAGTCCAGGAGTTTGCTGACGGGGTAGGATGCTGGAAAGGTGAGCAGCATGAAGAATTTTGTGAGAAAGATTGTGTTAGCTCCCACTGCCAACCCATGTCTGGAGCAGATGGCCTGTGGAACAATCTCCCCAAAAATGACTATTCCAATAGTGGACATGACCACAGCAATCAGCCCTGACCCTGCTATGTCGTCCAGCAGGATCGTCAGCGTGGTGTTCACCAACACATTCCCCAAAAGAAGAGAACACAACAAGTAATTCCCTTGGCTCCGAACAGGCTCAATCTTTTTGGCATAGTTTTTCTCCCGCTCAGTGCCACAATTTTGGACAATCTGGAGCTCCATGGGATCCAGAGCCATAAGCCCTAGGTTCAAACCACTGAACATCCCAGACAAGCACAACAGCATAGAGATGAAGATGACCTGTAGCCAGAAAGGCAGCAGAAACTTTTTCTCCTCCACCACTATCACTTTGGTGTCTTCCCCGTCATGGTAGATCCAGGTGTTCTCTGTCCACGGGTCATAGGACCCTGCGGGAGTCGACGTGGCCACGCAAAGGTAATAAGATTTGCTTCGCTCTGTCTTTCTCAGAGGTTTGACCTCAATTTCAACTACTCCTGACGTCTTTCGACTTAAAGTAATGTGGGGCAAAATAATGATATCTGACGTCCTGATGCCACAGGGGTGAGAGCCGGACAGGTCCTCATGGCTCTCCCCAGAGGGGCTGTCAGCGCTCCCCCCGGGTCTGCTGCGCTCATGTTCAGTGAAAGCTATTCGGGACCACGTCTCGTTGTTGATGTTCTGGCCGTACACCCTGAGTTTGACGCGGGAGCGCTCACTCACCCGCAGGTAGCCCCTATCCATGAAAGAAATGTCGTCGGTTTCCTCCAGGCGCAGCCCGATGATGACCGTGTCTTCGGAGTTTTCCTTGCCACTTGTGGGGGTGACACAACAGCCAGTGACAGTCCAAAAAATCAACGCCAGAGCTCGAACCCGGTTAAGGGACGCCATTTTTGCAGCAGTGGGTCCGCGGGATAAGGGCTTTGCCATATTGATGATTGAATGGTTCGGGCTATCGGCGATCAGAGGCACTCGGAGCCCGCCTTCATCTCCACCCTGGCTGCCGTGACTTGCGCATCAGGACCTGCTCGTTCCCACTACGTGTCCGACACTGAGGGCCACAGCGCAGGCTTACGGGCCAACTCGTGCCTCTTCTGATGTCCCCGAGACAGGCCACGGCTCCGGCCAATCAGGGAGTGCAGCTGACCGGTAGGCGGGGCAGCCGCAGCCTCCCCGGCGAATCAAACTCCAAAACAAGTGCACCTCATGTTCGGAAACAGAGCTCTACTCGTGACTTCAGCATATCCCACTACAAGATGCGCCCACAACTGATGAAATCACACACAGAGACTGTTGAGATGCTGCTGTATTGACTAATGCACCAGGACAGAAGAGTGATGCTCAGGGACAGAAGAGTGAGAGAGATGTGTTGCAGCAAAATAGACCTTTATTCAATGCCAATAGAGGTCTAAATAATTATTTTTATATGAAAGCACTTGACAAAACAATGTTTAAAATACATACAAAAGCATTGCCACAGAGGACCGTGTGGGTAGTTTAGGTTAATGTCTGAGCATCACTTGCAGCAGGAGGCAGACTGTGTGCTGCAGCACCCCCTAGTGGTTGAACCAGGGCTTTGTTTCTCCAGCTGCAGCACCAGTTCAAACGGATCCACCAGGCTCTCCTATGTGAAGAGAATAATTTACAGCTTACAATGTTTACGAAGTAAACATATGTAAAACATTACTTCTTTGTGCAACTTCAGGTTTGCAATAGACAAAGTTTTACAAGTAAATTAGTTACAAAGTGGTAAACTTTAATTACAAAATATCATTTCACAATGTTATAAATTTTTCCCAGAACAAGAATAAAGATACAGATACAGTAGCAGTTTTTTTTATGGCCATTATCACAAGTTGTCTGCAGATTGCATAGAGTGTCAGTCCAAAGGTATAAAAGGGGCAGAATATGATAATAGCCACTTCTTTATTGTTCTTCAATGTGACTTATGTGACCATATTGTTATTGCCCTAAAATACTGTTGTGTAATGTCACATATAACCTTACACCAATAGTAGCACTATACATATGCACTGACGGACCAATAGAGCAGATAAGATGGTAGCCTCTAAGTCAAGAGAGAGAACATTCCTCCCTGTTCAAGGTTCCCTCAGCAGGGGTCATATCTGGGTAAGACTCTGGGACAGCTGCTTGACCTTGTGCGTGTGAAGTGTGTGTATGTATGTTAGAGCATCGTGTAGGAGCGCCTGCTGTCGGCTCCATGTAAACGCACATGTGACACTATGAACAAACAGACATGGGTTGGTCGGGGCGTGGCTTGAAGCACACCCACCTTCCCTTTCTCAACGATAACAATGCCACCTTGAGAGAAATTTTGGGGACTGATTATTATGTTTTAGTGTAGTGCAAAGCTGTTGGAAGCATATAGGACTAGCAGTAACCGGCCTAAGACGTAACATCCGACTTGTTCCAGTAGACGGCATATTGTCACAAATATCTTGTTAATTAATACAACAACTCCATTTAGTGATTTTAATTATTGTGTTAATGTGTAAAAACAATTTCTACCTAAAACGACATTTTGATTTTGGGAGATTGGCAGCGGAGTATGGCAACCCCGCTCCCATCACTGTGTGGAGTGAGAGGACAAATGGCCACAATTGTAAAGCGCTATATGAATAAATATTATATACTTACAGTGTGTGTATATTGTGAATAAAATAAACACAATTATAAAGTTGTTTAGTATTTTACAAAGAACTAATACACATTTAATACTATGTCATTGAAAGTAATACATTATGTGATTATTATAAACAAATCTACAATATCAGTGTAACTTTTGTTTTAAAGTTATGTTCAAAGTTTTGCTCACCTTGGCTCCAACTCCACATAGTCCTTTTCCAGATGGTTCAAAAGTGAAGTCCTCTGCAAACCTTGAGGATCTCAGAATATTTGCCAAATCTCCATCAACCTCCCTCACTTCCTCAGCCTAACAATAATAATAATAACAACATAATTGTACTAGTCCATACACGTTTTCAGAAGAAGTAATTACACACCTTGAAAGTGTACTGGCAGTCAAAAGGGAAGCAGCTCTCCACACCTGCGATTCCTCCGTTATAGATGACCTGACATGGTTTAGAGCTGGCCTTGGGGAGCTTAAAAAGACGGTATGTGGCAGAAACAAACTTGAAATCACCTGCAAAGTACAATGATAGAAAAAAAGGGGGAAACTTCTTACTTATAATCAAACTTAGACACAATAAAATCAGAGTTCAAAATGTTGTTTATGAGCACACAATCAGGTCAAGGGACATCAACACAATTTTACACTCAGACTAACATTTTCAGGTAGCTTAAAAGTTGGAATGACGTACCTTGGTATGACATGCTTTTTATTCTTACAGGGACAGTGCACAATAAACATTAGCCAAGAGGAGAGATGCATTATACCAGGTTGTAGCAGCAGTGATTTTCACCTCTAGTCCCTAAGCAGGTTTTTAATATACTCAATGAACACAAAAGTAGCTTCCACTTTTTGAGGCTCCAAAATCTAAAAATTGCATTTAACTTTCACTTTTTAATACTTGATTTTATATCCTTTGCCTTCCAGACCTCAAGCTGTAATTGACAGCATAGATTTCAGAAAGTTTCATTCCTGCTTTTATTGGGTTCTCTCATTTGAAAAGTTTGAGAAAAAACATCGACCTTACGAGCCAACATGTTCTATTGTGTTTTATTTGTCTGTCATCTGTACATTGTGTACAAAGATTGAACCCATTTAGTTAACTCTGGTCTATTTTCAGAAATGTTTTTCAATGTACACAAACAAAAAATACATGTACAGTGGAAATCAACATCCAGTACACCGAGTTAAAATACATGTTTTATTCATTCTCACTGTCTGCAATGGAATGTTTTGCTGTGTTTAAAGTTAGCTAAAAAGATTCAGAAGAATAATTAAGTCAAGATTTAAACAATAGGTGGGAATGGTTAAAACTGACCTTATACAGTCCAGGACAGACAAGTAAATGGCCTTTTACATGTGGAAAGCTCTGGTTTCTACTGTTTCTATATACATATATTTGGACTCTTAACTTTCTTTATTAAAAAAAGCAATGTTACCCAGAATGTCCTGCAGATCTTGGTTGTCCACTGTGATGGTGCTGGCGGTCACCAGGCGAGGACGGCTGAATCCCACTTCTTCGGCCAATTGCACAAGATCCTCCCAGAACAGAGCACCCCCGATGCATTCACCTGTTGTCACCAACGACATCTCATAGAACCTCAGCTGCGTTTGGACAAACAGAGAAAGCTCGTCTCCACTGACCCCAAAGGACCTTGTGTTTTTTTATTTCATCAGTTAGTCTTCCACTGCTGTAAACGTCGCTGAAGTACAGCTCACCACCGTCCTAAAGATGAAAACAAATGATTAGTAAACATTTAATTTAATTACATCAATCAGGCCAATCTTTATCAGAGCTTTCAAATTCAGCTTAAATAAATAGCTCTGACCTTTAGGACGTTGTAGGCCTCAGCCAGAACCCTCTTCTTGTCTGGAGACAAATTCACGACACAGTTTGAACTGCAACAAAACAGTTATTTTAATGATCCTTTCTTTTACCAGGATAGTACCAGTAATAATTCAGATTCAGCATTGGCCTCAAAGGGGCATCTGTTGGTACATCAGCAATTTTCTGATGCAAACAAACAAACACTAACCACTTTATAAAAGGTCACTTACATAACATTAAAGGTCACTTACATTATGATGTCAAAATAGTCCTTTTGTAGCCCCGCCTCTGCCAGTGATTCAATGTAGCCCTGAACAAAGCTGACGTTGGACGTTTTGTAGCCAAATTCTTTCATGTGGTGGTCCAGATATTTTGTCGCCACATCAAGCTAAATGAAAAGTATGGATGTAAAGTCAATTCATCCACTGAGACAATGCATTTCAGTCCATAAATGTATCTTCCTTTGGGTGCTTCATAATCTAGGAAAAGGTCGTGGTAGAGCTGTATACTTATGTGGACTAGTATAATTTCTTAGGCAATAGATTAGATTAGATTAGTCTTTATTGTCTCTTGAGAGAGAAATTAATCTTGGACAAACAATGGGAGCAATATCACTTGTTTAGACCATACATGTTAAAACCTAATGCTAACCCAATTTTAATTGGGAGACAAACCTCCAAACAATTTCAGTGTGCATCATTTTAGGGGGCAAAAAACACAACCTGGCCCTGAATTATCCTTATTATGGTATGCAGAAGAATTCCCATCTGACCTATGCACGTGAGCAAACACAGACTGACTTCTGAGGGTATTACTCAGGGACCCATGTGGTATTACCATAGACTGTAAACATGAATTACCTGGTCCTGGGTCATGTCAATCCCAGTCACATGGCCCTCCTGCCCCACCAGCTGGCTGAGCATGTAGCAGTCCCTCCCACTGCCACTGCCCAGGTCCAGCACCCTGCACCCCTCCAGGCTCTCTGGCACCACCAGGCCACAGCCATAATACCTGTACAAAGATAAGTCACTCAACTACAACCAACCCGTTCATTTGATGTGAATAAAAGAGAGTTAAAGAGAGTTACTTGGAAGAGACGTGGTGGTGGACTTTGCTCAGAGCCTGGCGGATGAAGGCGGGCACTGGGATGGCAGGTGCTACACAAGCGTTACTTTTCAGGTCTGAGGTGGACTTGAGGAGGCTGTAGTATTCCTAACAATAAAAACAATTTGTCACTCGTTTTGAAATACACAATTCCCTGTTTTAAGTGGTGAGACTAAACGCCAGCTTTATGAGTCACTTTACCTTCACGTCCACATGGATGGATGAATCCGAAAAGCTTTTGGCGCATCCACTAGATAGTGCGACATTAAGTTAATAAGTTAATTAAGTTGTTATTACAGATAATCACCAAACTGACAAAACTCACAGCAGCTGGATCTACTGAAACTATGAGGTACAGATTATTTATGGATCTTACCTCTTGTTGTCAGTCATGTTTACGATGGTCAGGCTGCTGATCAAGTCCGCGTCTACAAGCACCAACAAGAACTACAAGCGCCTTTATATCCGGGTCTCTTGTTTTGGTTGAGTTTTCAGCAGACTGGACATGAGTTCTGGCATTATTGCCTCCCACCGATAGATCAAGAAACTACAAGTAATATATGACGGGTTTTGGAGTTCATAAATATGGTATTTTAGTGTTTGCAACATGTGCAACGTAATGTTTGATGGTGCGCTCTGTGGTCGGTTAATTTATTTGACCGTTCATATATTTAAGAAAATCTCTGAATGTGTGGGTGTCGCATGTAGCAGTGACAGCCTCCAACTCATGCAGCCTCAGTGTCTCCCCCTGTCGTCCACAAAAAGAATGGAAATGAAGCCTGTACCTAGTATACAAACCTAGTACATTTCAATTAGACCGATTAGCAGTCAAAATTACTTCACAATAGTATACGTCAACTCCAAATTGCAGATATTTTTTAAAAAGGCACAAGGATCTTTTGTTTAGTTTGGTGAATTTTATTGAACAAACATTGATGTCTCTTGATATCATAAATGGCTTATGTTATTTTAACATTCAAAGATCTCAGAGTGAGAAAAAACCGAGTGCATTTGGCTGGACACCCCTGATTTGGTTAACAAAAACTGCAACTTTTCTGTTAGTTGTTCATATCCTCATGGTGGTTCCAAAATACATCACCAAGACTAAATGTCTTTCCCAAGATGTACAAATATTGCCTACACTGAACAAAACATCATAACATTAAAGCTAATGATTCTGTTATTATGAAAGCTTACAAAATCTAAACAATGTTCAAGAAACAGTGGTTTTAGGATTTCAATAGTGAAATTGGCAGATAAGAATAATAACTCCTTCTTGAACTCCATGTAGCACAAAATCCAAATATTAAAATACTCTAATGTTAAAGCATTTTGAGAGTCATTTTTGAGTCACACTTTAGAGCCAACCTTTTACCAAAAGGAAGAATAAGAATGACAGCCGATTTAAGGGGCTTGGGAGAAATAGTGGAGTGAAATAAATGCCTCTTTGAAGTGAGCATTTCTTGACAGTCAGCTGATAATGTTACCAAAACAGAGTTGTGCTCTTATCATACCAGTATCAGTGGTACTTCGACACATAGATTACAGTATGAGTATCTAGATCTAATGCACCTCAGTGCTTATACAGAGACCATTTCTCCGCCCACTGCTGAACAATGAGCTTGGTTATAATGAGGTTCAAGCCAGCATGTTCTTTCAGGTAAAAATAATGTAAAGCTTGTTTTGGTACCGATTTTCTATGCTTCAAGACTTGACAAAAAGTCCTGTATTGTCCAAGTAGGCACATTCAACACAAATGCTGTGACTTAAACAGCATAGAAGAGGATGTTTTCCACCGTCACCAACATTTTCCTGAAGAATGCAGCAAACCCCAGCAAAAGATTCCACTTAATGCAAATTAAGACTTGAAATTACGCATGTTCTCAGTTAACCTTGCTGCTAACTTCTCCAGAAAATGGTTAAAACATTGTGCAAATTAGAAAATGATTGTAATACACTATTACTCCTACTACTAAGAGATCATAGAGAGCTAAGAAAGGCAGGAAAACAGCTACTGCCTAAAAGCACTTGTGAAAGATGAAACTACACTTCTGTCCCATTACAGTATTGGGCTTGCATAATAACATACATTGCACACATCCAAACCGTAACCTATAGCAGTTTCTTCCCACCCATTGGCTTTATAACTCACCAAATGCTCGGTAATGCCCCTTCAAAACATATCAAGTGTTTACATTTCTGTCAGTAGCTTATATTTTGCATGGATAAAACATGGAGCCATGTGTACCGCAATTGTGCAATGGTGGATGTCTGGATGGATGCAGGTGGCTAATCGGCTATAGCATCCGAAGATTAGCCCAAACACACAGGTGAAGGCCACTGATCACACTGAGAAAGAGCAGTTGTTAAATCCACTGCATTTTCCACAAGTGTCTACACATTCAATTAAGTCATAGAAGATTGATAAAAGCAAATATGTCGTCCCCTGTAGGACATCAGTGCTCCTCATGTGCTGGTGTGTGGATCTCAGCCTTGCGGCTCAGTGCTGGTGCTGTGGTGGCTGCCCTCCTGCTCGCTGATGGTGTGGAGGAGCAGGCACACAGGAGGATTGCCTATGAGGTGATTAGGCTGAGCCGGACTCGGTGGCCCCCGGCCCGGCCTCCGGTCTGCTGCCAGAGCCGGTTCCTCTTCGACGGTGAGGGAGGCGCGATGCCCACAGCTGTCGCAGAAATCTCCTGCCCCCTCCTCGTCTTCATCTGGGCCCAACAGGCTCTCTAGTTCCCTCAGTTCTTTTCCATCCTGCTCCTGGCCAACCACACCTGCACCACCACCGCCCCTGCTGCCCCGAGAGCCACACACGCACACCTCAATCCCAGAGTCGCCCGTGAAGCGCCTCCTCCGCCCGTTAGGCAGACGGTCTTTGTCCTCCGCACTATTCTCAGAGAAGTCTTTCACCAGTGTGTCCTTGCATGAACTATCCCCACTGTCTATGTGTTTCTCCTGGTTCTCACTCCTGATCCTGTCTGACGCCAGGATCACGTCGGACTCGGGCCCTGTTTGGACTTGCTTGTTGTCAGGTTTGGGTCTAAAGTCTAAGGCAGGCGTCTGTGGCTCTTCTACACTGGGTCGGCAGCACAGACTGTCAGACACTGAAGCTAGAGGGGCTGGAAGGCTGCTGGCAGAGCGTCCCTCCTGCTGCTCTGAGGCCAGTGGACTAGTGACCATTGTAGTAGGCCCTGTGTGTAAGGCACTATAGGGAGGCGGAGGAGTTGGCGGCCGGTTTACCACCTCTTCATAGTCAGGCAGGAGGTAGTTTGGCAAAAATCCTGAAAAAAAAACAAAACAACAGCTCTTAGTTTAGCACTTTGGGTTGCCTTGTGCATGATTTGTGCTGTAAAAATAAACCTTGCCTTGCCCTAGTTTAACGCGAATATCAGACTATATTTTATTATTTTGTATTGTCTTTTATATGGGCCTTGAGTCTGGATTAAAGATGTATTATTATAAATCATCCATCCATCCATCCATTTTCTACCCCTAATCCATTTCTGGGTCGGGGGGGTGGCAATCAGAGATACCACCCAAGTCACATAGCATGAGCCCCTCACTGGCCCTCTGCATGTGGTGAGTCCACAGGAGGACGGCTGCTCTTTAAGTATGAGCTAGCCTTGATTATCAGCGGGGGCTTTGGGCAAAGTGGGGCAGCAGACATCAGTGGGAATCGGCGGTGTCGAGGTGGGAATTGAACCCACGACCTTCAGGCCTAAAGGCCAATGCTCTACCAACTGAGCTAATATTATAAATCATATTTTTCTTATTGTTTTTCTACCGTCTGTTTCACTTTCAAAGCTTTGTTTCCATTTTAAATATATTTTTGACCTAAAATGACACCTCCGAAATTAAATCATTCCACAAGGAGAAGTTTAAAACACAAAACAAATGATAGAGGTGAACCAACGTCGAGCAGATTCATCATTAGCATAAAGTTTGAATGGAGCAAATGCAGCAATGTACTTCCTGGACTATTAAGCTCACCTGTAGACATTAAGTCCGCATATAGGCCACACTTGAATATAAGTCGCATGTTGTGATGTGACACTAGCCAACGGATGGAGCAAAACAAAGCCAATAGAAAACTGTATAAACTGATCGCAACATGATGTGGTGTTTAAACGCGCTGTGAAATCTAAATGTAAATCATAATGGAACATAATGGGTTCTGAGTTAAACACCAGCTATAGTCCTAATCACTTAAACAAGTACCATAGTGTGTATATCCCCAACAATTTTAGCGTCTTCTCTCGGCTGTTCACATAAACACACGAGAAGCAGGAATGTGCGCTACATCATCAGCTCTAGAGATCAACAGCTGATGTGTGCAAATGCCTTCAAACTAACAATACATACATTAGCTGCATCTCTATATAGGCCACAGGGTTCGAAGAAACTGAAAAAGTAGCGTCTGTCGGCACATAATACAGATCTTACTTGTTTCCCTATATCTTGTAAAGAATATTATTATAAACATCAGACAAACCCACCCACAACTTCTCCATTCATCACAGAAGATCACATTATTCTGGAAAACTGGCAGAAGACCAAAATAAGCTATTGGGCAGCATACAGAATCACATGGTGGTTATGTAAAGTACATTGCAGCCTGAAGTGCAAAAGGAGGACACTTGTCTTTAAATCAAGAATATACTTTATTGACACAGATCACTTCAAAGACTCCAAAGAACCTTCTATTTTTTAGGTACGCTGTTATATCTGTCAGAGGAACCGTCCTCCTTACACTTGACAGGCCATTTTCCATGTGTGTCCTGACGTCTTTATGGATCCCATGTGTGTTTATCACATTGTTTATGACATTGTTTATGTCAGCAGCTAAAAGAGCCGGTAAACAGACAACACACTTTATGCCAAACAGCGAAACAAGGTTTTCCCCATATTTTCAAAGATCCACGTCTTTCTCATGGTATTTTATTCAGTGCGTTGCCAGATTCTGTGCTTGACAAGTAATACAGAAGTTTCCAGATGAAAAGTAACAAAAACAAGACATTAAAAAAGCTTTAGTGATGGTTTAGCCACCTAGGAACCTGATGATGTGCAAGATTCAGATTCAGAAAACTTGATGCCAAAGGGTTATTCATTTGCAGCATAATCAAATGATGCTTTTGACAAGGACTGAGATTCGTGTAAAATATAGCATTTTGAGCAATGAGACAGATTAAATGCACCATGGAATATGTGCTATATAGAATGTAAGTTGTAAAACATGCTATATTTATTGAAATTGTCACTTGATGATAGAGCATTTTTGCATTACCACTGTCCTCAGTTGCCCTCTCAAGTAAATATTGCGCTGTTTAGAATGACAGAGCTGGCAGTAATGTTTTTAATACCATGATTTGATTATTGTTAATGATAATGTGTTACAGTTGTGACACTTTGATGCATTAAGGATAGTATGGTCATACAGAGAGAAACATGAACCACTATAGTCCTGTCCTGAACTCCCATAAACTTAGATGGACATTGACAATATTTCATCACAAACAACAGAGTAGAGTAATAGAGTTAAAGTAAAATTTTCAGAGAAAGGATCAGAGAATGACTTACTGAAATAAAAGGGCACAGACGGGTAGTTGTGTGCTTCTCGATAAGCGATGAGGTTGATCTCATGCTGCCGCTGCTGCTGCTGGAGTCTGTGCTTGGTTCGCCGATGGTGACACACGCAGCAACAACTCAAAATGAATATAATGGCCCACACCAGCCAGAACCCTGAAGAACATGTTGATTTACTTAGACATTGAATGGAAACAAACATTATAAATGATAACATATGTGTACTGGACAAAAACATACTAATACTGCAGCTGGTTTGGGAAAGGCCCTAAAAGGCTCAAGGACCCTGATCAAGAAGGAGAACGTGGATGTTTTTTGTTTTTTTGTTTAGCAAGGGACAGAACTTTTGCAATGACTGAACAATACTGAGGACTTCAGGACTAACTGCAGAAACGCAGGAATGAGACAGACCGGTGTGTGCACTCTACCTGAACATGGAAGAGGACAGTTTGCAGTGTGACAGTTGCCATTGTTAATGCCATAGCACTCAAGGAAACTCTCGTCAAAGTCATATCATTTAATAATAGTTGTGTGAACATGATTGAATACTACTTTACTCTATTCGGATAGTTGAGCAAAATTGTGGTTGAAAGTATCGTAAGTAGAGCAAAAAATATTCCTAATTTTACATCTAATCCAATGTCATAGTGATAATTTAGGAACAATGTGTCCAAGCCTAAAATGTCTATTACACAGTGTTCATTTGTACAGTTAGTCCAATAGTCTAAATAAAAGATGTTTGCTTAAATTATAACATATTTGACAGTAAGCCATCCATTTTATAAAAACTATGTCCTTTGAACTGTGTGATGAATCTTCTTTTGACAGAGTCTGTGATCTACTTCTTGATAAAACAGCTGTTAGGTAACAAAGACACTAGACTAGTGGAACAACATTGGTGCCCTTGAATACTATATGACCTACTTATTTTCATTTCAAATAAAATGCTCATCAATGACAAAGACAAAATGAGCTGAAATGATTGTACTTAAAAAGAGCAGACTTACACCACAGTTCATAATAGTAGCTACAGCACTGGGACTCTCCACAGCAGTGGCCTGACTCACAAGTGTAGCTCTGATTGTTCACCCCTTCGCACTGCAGCAGGCTCTGAAAAACAACATGATCAGGTTTTCATCAAGTATATCATCCCAACAGGCATTATATTATGTTTACCCTATCCTTTCAAAACAAGGAAAATCACCCGCCATGCTCTGACTTGGATTTTACATATAGCATAGATAATATATTATACAGATAAACAGACCTCTCTTTGTTGCTGAGGATAACGTTTTGAAAACATCTTTTGTTGACTCTTTTTAGTAGAAACTTAAAAAAAAAAATCATGTCCACAGCTATAATGCATTGGTGACAACTGACTGACCAGAACTACTTGCAATAACTGAGGTGTAATGTTATGGCCATAAGGATATTCTGCCGTATAGAGACACGACTCCGTTAAAGCTGGAGAACCTCATTTTGAAACAACAAACATTTATCATGTCATAAAATCCCTGTAACTAGTTTCTAGTTCTCAAGACTGTTTGGATCACTAGTTTTCACATGCATTTTGATTTCTGCCATATATTCACATCAGCTTTTCCAGTGATCAAGAGAGTACCAGCCCTCAATCAGCTTTCAGGCTGTAAAAGTACAAATGTTTTCTAATAAAAGAAAGCCAGCATGTTCTAGTCTGATTTGTTCACAAAATGTATGTAAAGTATCAATTACAAAATGTTGGTACTCCAGCTTTAAATATGTTGTAATTTGGATTAAAGTGAACATACGATGAAGTCATGAAGCTGGTAGAGTCTGCAGCAGGTGTGTATGCATAAAATAACCTTGCACATTCCTCACAGTGACTGACCTTTGATGTACAGTCATAACTAATCCAATTTTTAGACTGACCAACTTTAAGCCGAACATGTGAAGTAAACAAGTGCGACTGCTCCTGTTTCATCTCATATCACGTTCAAATGTTTGATTCGTGGCCAGAGTCAAAGAAACAACTCTGACGCACCACATTTCTTAAGCTTCATTTGACAAAACTTTCAAAATACTGGCTTAATTTCCGTTTTTTCTTTACTTTAATGTACATGAGATCAGCATAGAAATCAACAAAACAAAGCTCTACACAAGGATATTTTGCGATTGCTTAAAATTACCAGCGAACGTCCCACACTGAGAGGCATGACGATCCCGGGTCCGACAATCCCAGACAAATCCTTGCACTGTGTGGGTCATTATCCCACAGAAGAAAAAGTCACACTGCTCCCTAACAAGCAGACTACCTTCAAGCCCTGCCTGCCCCCGATTCCCACTCCCCTCTCTCTCTCTCTCTCTCTCCAGATTGACCACATTCACACACAAATACAGCTATCCACACCCTTGCCCCACTCCCAAACCAGGGCCCAAACAGAGGACTGCTCTACGGAAATTTCCAAAGCAACAGCGGAGTGAGACATAGGCTCCTAGCGGGACGGCCACAACACACAATGAAACATGCAATGGGAGGACTAGGAACTGATAACAAACGCACCAAAACTAATAATCAGTCAGATTAAATAAAAAAGATCAGCATGTGCCATTGCGGTTATCAAAAGTTGCAAAACGTTCTACTTTTTTAACAGTTGTTTTTTCATGAAGTTGTCAGCCCCCACCCTTCCCCTTTTGGCTGACCAGACCCCCGTTCTGCAATGTGATACAGATAAACATCTAGCTTTTTTGGCTCTTCAGTCAGCTCAGCATAAAGATAGCTCAGGAGAAAGGGACATAAAGAATTACTCTTCTCTATCTCCATGCAAAAGCCTTTTCGATCTGGTTTGGGACACAGCAAATAAAGAATGATCTACATGTTTTTTTTTTTTTAGCTCTTTTTTTTATTGAGCGCTACATTATTTTGTTAGATGCATTGAACAATCTGAAAATGTAGTCATGGCTACAGTGCCTTGCGAAAGTATTCGGCCCCCTTGAACCTTTCAACATTTCGCCACATTTCAGGCTTCAAACATAAAGATATAAATATTACATTTTTTGTCAAGAATCAACAACAAGTGGGACACAATCGTGAAGTGGAACAAAATTTATTGGATAATTTAAACTTTTTTAACAAATAAAAAACTGAAAAGTGGGGCGTGCAATATTATTCGGCCCCCTTGCGCTAATACTTTGTAGCGCCACCTTTTGCTGCAATTACAGCTGCAAGTGGCTTGGGGTATGTCTCTATCAGTTTTGCACATCGAGAGACTGGAATTCTTGCCCATTCTTCCTTGCAAAACAGCTCGAGCTCAGTGAGGTTGGATGGAGAGCGTTTGTGAACAGCAGTCTTCAGCTCTTTCCACAGATTCGATTGGATTCAGGTCTGGACTTTGACTTGGCCATTCTAACACCTGGATACGTCTATTTGTGAACCATTCCATTGTAGATTTGGCTTTATGTTTTGGATCATTGTCCTGTTGGAAGATAAATCTCCGTCCCAGTCTCAGGTCTTTTGCAGACTCCAACAGGTTTTCTTCCAGAATGGTCCTGTATTTGGCTCCATCCATCTTCCCATCAATTTTAGCCATCTTCCCTGTCCCTGCTGAAGAAAATCAGGCCCAAACCATGATGCTGCCACCACCATGTTTGACAGTGGGGATGGTGTGTTCAGGGTGATGAGCTGTGTTGCTTTTACGCCAAACATATCGTTTTGCATTGTGGCCAAAAAGTTTGATTTTGGTTTCATCTGAAGAGCACCTTCTTCCACATGTTTGGTGTGTCTCCCAGGTGGCTTGTGGCAAACTTTAAACAAGACTTTTTATGGATATCTTTGAGAAATGGCTTTCTTCTTGCCACTCTTCCATAAAGGCCAGATTTGTGCAGTGCACGACTGATTGTTGTCCTATGGACAGACTCTCCCACCTCAGCTGTAGTTATCTGCAGTTCATCCAGAGTGATCATGGGCCTCTTGGCTGCATCTCTGATCAGTCTTCTCCTTGTTTGAGATGAAAGTTTGGAGGGACGGCCGGGTCTTGGTAGTTTTGCAGTGGTCTGATACTCCTTCCATTTCAATATAATTGCTTGCACAGTGCTCCTTGAGATGTTTGAAGCTTGGGAAATCTTTTTATATCCAAATCCAGCTTTAAACTTCTCCACAACAGTATCTCGGACCTGCCTGGTGTGTTCCTTTGTCTTCATGGTTCTCTCTGCGCTTTAAACAGAACCCTGAGACTATCAAAGAGCAGGTGCATTTATACGGAAACTTGATTACACACTGGTGCATTCTATTTATCATCATCAGTCATTTAGGACAACATTGGATCATTCAAAGATCCTCACTGAACTTCTGGACTGAGTTTGCTGCACTGAAAGTAAGGGGGCCAAATAATATTTTATATCTTTATGTTTGAAGCCTGAAATGTGGCGAAATGTTGAAAGGTTCAACGGGGCCGAATACTTTCGCAAGGCACTGTATATCTGAGAGTTGAATTGGTAACTCATTTAATTTTTCTGGTGATTATTCTATGTTTTTTTTTTCATGTTTGGCCAGTTTTAGATCCAGGAAGGCCATGGCTTATAGATTCCATACGAGTTAGTTGTGAATACTCTGCTATACTATACTATTTTTATTTCTCACGGGTTTGACTTAAAATATATGTGATGTTCTAATATAGTTGCATGATAGATGGTCCTAAATCTCTTCTCCATCTCTTCTGCAGACCACACTATCAGCATAGGATGACTTCATTGCATATAATCAGGGTCAGCGGAGGCCATAGAGTGCATTAGCAAAGAATCTCATCAAAACTAGATTCCACTCTGTCTATGAAAACCGGTAGCGACAACCTATCTGCTACTCCTCAAATACAGGATTAAAGACAGATTTGGTTACCTTCCCAGAAATTATTGCCACGTTAGAAAATAATCAACCCAATAATGAGAAGCTGTTGAAACACAAAGACATTGGGACAAGTTCACAACCCCAGCGTCCTCAGCATAGAGAGCTAATGCAAACGCCTTTTAATTTATGGCTAATTTATAGTCTTGACTGAGCCGTCACTGACCCCTTATTTATTATACAGCTATGCAACAAAGGGACGCACTCATGTGCAGGTTATAAGGAGAATGAAAACCTGCTGAACATGTATCAACTTTCAACAGCAGACAGACAAGCTTTAAACAAAGCTGACTTGCGTCATTTTATCTAAAAGTAAGGACAGATTTTTTTGGATGTTGATCAAATGTCATTCAAAACTACAAGAGTTGGCGGGGGCATAGTATTACCTGTTAATTCTATAGTTACTCTCAAAATTTGATTTTCCATATTGGACTATAGATACACATACACAGTGTAGCTCATTCATTTTAAGTAATGAATAAATTAACAACAATGAATAGTTTTCTGTCTTAAAGTGAAATCTATTCTGGTGTTATGATAACTTATATTATTCCACACCTTAGACTTAGGGATTGGCCTCTTTCCAAAGTAAAGCAGCAGAGATACTCACAAAGAGACTTTATGACTATATGGTTATTGCCATAGACAAAAGACATACTGCACACTAAACAGTCGAAAATGAGATATGGAAGTGAAGGTATATAAGGAAGTAAGAACAGAAGAAAAAGGATTCCATAATAAATTATAATAAGGGTTTAGGACTTTCTTTACGCAATGTAGACGTAAATAAATGTTGTCTTGTCCAAAAGGCAAGGCAGGTTTAATGTATAGCACAGTTTATACACAAGTCAACTCAAAGTGCTGAACAAAACAAGATAGAAACAACGAGATATTGACATTAGGGCTGAGCGATATGGCAAAAAAGTAAAATCTCGATTTTATTTCCTGCTTTGGACAATTTCGATTTTTATTAAAGTCGTTGAAGACTGACTTTGCCCTTAAAAATATGTTTTGATCTTTCCGCTCAATATTCAAGTTTCAAAACTATTTCTAATTTGTTTCCCTCAATACGTATTATAAAAGTCTTGTACAGACTGCTGATATTGCAAATATGATCCATGTGCTGCTGGAACTCACAATATCCTTCATTCGATTTCACGATTTTAACACTTTTCACAAATTCGATTTTTTCAAAAACCGATTAATAGCCCAAATTCGATTTATTGCCCAGCCCTAATTGACATAATGCCTTGGAAAACGTGAATGTGTAAAGTGTAATACAGTGACTTTTTGAGAAGAATCTGTTTTGATCTGTCCATTTGACCATAATACAAAGCTGAACAGTCCATCTGCACATGATCTATGCTTTGCTTATCAAACTTCTAAAATGTTTCACAACTATTTCAAATAAAAACAAAACAAAAAGCAGTCCTCTGTAAATATTACGTTTCCTTTATCAGACCAGATCGCAGAAAACAAAAACAAAGATCAAAGCAAGGCCGCAGCTCAAAATGTATCACACTTTCACTGCACAAAAGCACAAGCAGAGACAAATATTTATTGTCAACAAACTACGACTCTGAAAATGTAGGAGGTGAGTTTCTTTAGGCTGACAGAGGGAGCAATGAGAGAGAAGTCGACTGTAAATGTGGAGTAACGCTGTGAGTTGTGTTTATGCTATGCTAACCAGCTAACTAGTAGCCCGAGAGTCAGCCAGCTTGTTTTTGACCACCGAGCTTACCCTGTCTGCCGCTGACTCCGTGGGGGTGACAGAGCCGACAGCGTGCAAAAACAATCCCATTTTAACAGCCGAGCATACGCCTGTCATTCCTCCAAAGGGTGATTACAGCTACGGTGAGAGCATAGGTGTGCCAAGGCTGTAGTAGTTGACTTTAAGTGTGAATGCTCAAACTATTTTTTGGGCCCCTGCTGCGCTGAGAGGCCTCCATGCGCCGCCTCCACTGCGGGCAGGACATCTCATGAAGGCAGTGCTGGCGCAACTGGTTGACGTCGGTAGCACTGGCTGATACACACACACACACACACACACACACACACAGCTGTTACACAAGAAACTCCCTCATTACGCCGACAGCCTGCTCCGCTGGGTGTGGCGTGGTCTCTTCTTCCCGGTCCATGTGTGCAACGTGATGGGCGTGCAGTTGCGTGGACAGCCACTGGCTTTGCGGACAACATGTGGATTGGACAAAATGTGGCGGCTCTGAGGAGACTAACCAATCACTGATGGTCCATCTGAATTTAGAACTGCATGCTCATCTCTCAACAGTGCCCCTAACGTCCATGTATTCACACAAAACACAACTATTGTCCCTTTATTTCATTCATTATCTTTCGTGCTTTTTATAAATAAAAGACACATTAACAAGTCAAAAGTAGTTCAACTTCCAACACACACATAGTAATGAGGAAGAACATGATTGTCTAAAAGGTTATTCATAAATATCATTATGGGGTTTGTAGAGTCTTAAAAACATAATTACCAGTCTCTTTCATTCGGTTGTCTGAATGGAACCCCTAAGACCTTAAAAACATCCTTTTCAGTTAGTGTTGGAACAGGAGTCCCCCCGTCAACTTTTAAGTTACCACGACGCACCACGTCTCTGTTTAGGGAGTGTTCAGATAGGCTCATTTGTTTGGTCTTTGCCAGAGCTCTCAGTGAACGATTGAAGTGTGCAGAGCCAGTGAAATACATCAAAGCACAGGCAAATTCTTGATAAGGCACAACAATAATGTCAAGCCTACGATGACGCTGATCAGGACCTGGAAGGCGGCAAACACCCATATATTTCTTTTGCTCTCCATTCTCTTCATTGCTAACAAGATCATCAGTTAAAAATCCTAAAGCAGAGAATAGAAAAGTCAACAAACAAGTAACAACTAAACAATTTATTCAAACTGACCACTTTCGTGAAGACAATGCAGAATTTTGCCAAAGACCCCTCTATGTGACACTCCATCAGGATGAGTTATAAGCACATCGACATCTCCACAAGTGGCTTTCCCTCGACGATAAGATCCACATGCCACAGACAGCAGGCCGGGGTCTACCGTCCGAGCAGCATCTCTCACCTGTCAATTGATGAATGCATTTAAGTTATGTTCAAAGCCAATAAAGATACCCCACAATGAGGATATTTCAGATGGAAATCGCAATGAATGTGACACTCAGGGAGCCTTTATTCTCTTTCAATTAAGCCATAATATAAATTTGTAGGAATAAACCTATTTAGTGATTTTTTGATAAATGCAGTCCCAATTTAAGAACCACATTCCTTTAAAAAGGTAAATTTAGAAAAATTAATTGGATTTGTTGTCTGTTTTAATCAGGCAGTCACACAGGCACAACCTAAAGAGGGACCCTTGCTGTATAGATAAGCAGGGTCTCTGACAGCACTCCAGCTCTGCTGTGGTGGGACACAGTGAGACAGTCATTTGCAATATCTTATAAGATCTAAAAGGTCATGGAACAAAAGTAATATTGCACCATCACTGAGCCAGAAGACCCAAAGGGCTTTCTGTCAATCCACCTCAAGGGCCTCAAAAGCACCTGTTTGGACTATGCAGAAGAGCACCAGTCAAACCTATAGAAATTTGGCGGATGATTTTACTCCCCAACGAGAAAACGACCTTGATGGTCCTGAAGGGATTTCAACTGGGATGTGTCATAGTGGAGGAGGCAACATAATGAAATGGGTGCCTTTTCCTTCAGTTGAAATATCAGAAGTTGTAGAACGCCATTTCAATGTTAACAACTGGGTTTTTTAACAGTACAACGCTACAGTTCACAATCCCACAGGGGAATTATTTTCAGAAGAATAATGTCACTCTTTTGGGCCTTGCTTATTCTCCTGATCTAAATCATATTGAAAAGCTTTGGGGTTTGACAGCAAGGGAAGTTTACAAACACTGAGTGTCTAGAGAATTCTTGACAGAAGATGCTTTTTGAGTTGCCAACATCACATCATCACGTGGAGAAATCCACTCTCATCTATGAAAGGTTTGCATCAAACACACCAGAACAATTTTTTTGGAGCTACACATTACTGATGTTTGGAATTTTGATTGGACAGGATTGATTGTGGTTCTAACAATTGGATCAGCTGCCTGTTTAATTTATTTTGATTTACTCCCATTTCTTCTTGTTGCCTATTGAAGCCCTAATTGGAAACTGCTAAGATAGAACAAGCATACACCTAAAATCAATCCAAACCTAATGTTAAAGTGCATCAATGTTACAAGTTGAATTAGTTTTAAGAATACCACTTTCTCAATGGCTCCTGCTTCCTCCCGGGGCATTCGGTCCAGAATATCATTATAGTATTTCAGTCCAATTTTTTGATTATGGTTTAGGTGAGCTTTGGTAGAAATGTCTTCTAAAGTGCGAAACCCCTATACAGCAAAAATGTATGCATGGTTAAAGAAGATAATGCAAAGGAAATATGCAGTTTGTCTGTGCTTGCTATGAGAAAAGGGTACTTACTTGTTGGTACCAAAGCTGTGCAGTCTTAGCCCCAGCACCCCAAATATTGGAAAACATTTCAAGTACAGGTACTGCTTCTCCAATATGGTCAAGTTTCCGGAGATGACCACTTTCCATAATCTCATCTATTTTGTCTGCCATTCGTTTTCCTATCCCTGGGATTTGACAGGCTTCCTACACAAAAATGTATGTGTCAGCAATTATGTTATGTTATTGATAAGAGTGATTTCCACAACCTGGTAGGATGTAACTGGTTTGTGGTAGCTCTTCAGTGCATTAACAGCTTTGGAATAGCCCAGTGCCCTCCATTTGTCTCCTTGGTGTGTGTAGGCCTTGGCCAGAACTTCTAATTTGTCAGTTATGTGTTTGTTGAAGTTATTGCTCTTGGATACCGATGACTGAGCACAGACCCATTTTCCTGAGATTGTTTCTTGAGGGAGAGATTCTGCACCAGGACATTCATCTTTTGGATGCTGGCCAGTCATGAGAGCTTTTATGTCACTTTGAGAAACACCGTCGTCATCTCCATGTGGTTCGTCTTTGCTGCTTGAGTCAGCCTAAGAAAAAAAGCATATACTTCACATTATACTTCTACAGAATTTCTCATTTCAAAGAAAGGACATTTATGAAAATATTACCTCATGATTCACTGAATTGATATCATATTCCTCCAATGTGTCATGATTATTTTGCGTTTCCACATTAGGTAATTCTTCTTTTTTACTACATTGTGCTTCAGAGTCACTGGTGAATAAACGCCACACATTTAAATCATATGTATTTGAGCATTATACATTGAAACAATTTGCCAAATAATTACCTTTTAATTGGAGAAAGACTATATTCTGACACATCCAACAACTTCTTCTCACTAATGCATTTGCTTAACCAGGAAGACTTTATTAAATGGACACCAGAAGGCATACAATCTACTTTTAGCAGGCGAAGTGCTCGGGCATTGTCTATACTGTCATCTACTACCACATGAGTGACACGTGGACACAGGGAATCATCTGTAGTTCCCGCATTTTGTAGGATTTGTCGTTGAAAGATTTGACACCTCGCATTTCCTATAGAGGTTGGAAGTATATACACACGCAAACCACAGAAAATATCACCTGTAAAAGTAATGCTCAGTAGGTTAGCATCTCCATAACACTCATAGACTTGGAAAACAGAGATTGTGTTACCTGTGGCACTAAGTTGCTCAGATTTCTTCTTGGGTGGTGGACTCTCTTTTCCCTGAAACACTTTAGCCCTTTTAACCTTGGGAAACGCCTTCATTATGCCATGGCGAGGCTCCATTTTTTCGATCAAGGATGGCAACTGTCAGCAATCTAACAACAAGAAAATAAAATTATAGCGTTAGAGAATAGGCTTTCTGGTGCAAAAGCCAAATCCCACACACAAAGTTAACTTAATGTGTCTGTCTTTCTTATAACATTTCACCACATCATACGCCAATAGATATCTAGATTCAATTAAAGTTGGCACACAAAAAACAGTTCCTCACTTCATACTGTCACCATTTTGTCAACATATTTTGTGAATGGCGCAGTGACAAGTCTATACTCCTATAAATAACATACATAATACGGTCAGCGTTGCGCCTCTAAATGAACAACACAAGCCAAATTTAATTTCATGGATGATGATGCTCCAGCTAGACATTGTCAAATAACTAAATACAGAGCGGCTGCTGGATATTGAATTCTATACCAAAATACAAAACGGCGAGGTATACATTTAACAGATCTGACATTAAACAGATCTTCTGAATCAATACGTAGATTTTCGCTAATATACAAGCAACCGTTGGAATCATTATAACTTCAAAAGTAAAGATAAAACTAGAAATGTTGCAATCAAATTGCTAATGTAATGCTAACACACTTAACTAGGCTACAGGTAACGTTCACTTGTAATTAACGCTAGTTCGGGAAAATAGGGCCATGGACATTTAACTACAAAGTGGCCAAATTTGCAATGTGGTAGTTGAAATAAACCTGTAATGTTAAATACAAACAACAATAAGTGATTCTTTCTTACCATTGAGGGAAGCAGAGCTTCCATGAAGCAGACCACCAGAAATCAACATCCGTTTCGTGGTCAAAATGTTGTACTTCCGGGGCATTTAAAACCTTAGTTTTCCGGAATGTGCATTTCTATATTGTATTTTGTATATATATCTTTAAGAGATATTCTGTATACAAACACAATATTTTTTTTCTATAATAAAGTAAAACAAAAAAATACTATTAGACTAGCGCGTTTGCTGGGTGATTGACCCGGAAAAGAAAAAAATAGACAAAACGCTGTAAGCATGACAGAAGAAACTTGGCACAAGATGCTGAAATGTTCAAAGAAAACAGCATTAATTCATGATGGTAAGTAAACTAAACTGATTACATGAATGTAATCAATTTAACTAAAAAAGGCTTTGCGCGAAAGCATTGCCGCGTAATTTTCTGCAAGCGAGTAGCCTCCGACTGGTGCTTGTTTCCATGGAGACATCTGTAAACTTTGGAACTTTAGAGTACAGTTTGTAACTCTAGTTTTGTATGTGTGGGACTTTAATCATAGAATCACTGTAACATTATTTCGTCATATCGATGTCATGGATGTATTAGCTCGATGTCTGTAGAGTTGATGGAACACCATGTGCGTTAAGAGTCCGTGTTTAGAAAGACCTGTCCTGTGTTTGCAGCATGGACTGTAAATGTTGTTTGCAGTAGTATGAGTCAATGGTTAATCACAATATAACAATCTTATATTGCGTGTTCTATTTTTTTCAGGAAAACGGAAGGTGCACTATCTTTTTTCAGATGGTAAAGAAATGGCAGAAGAGTATGACGTAAATACCGATGAGCTCCTTGGTAAACAGATTACTTTTTTTTTTTTTTTTTATAATCCATTATTTTGTTCTAATCCATTTAATTTATTTTTGATAACATCCCCCCCAATATTTAAGTGCGGAAATGGAAACACAAAAGCACCCTTGGAGGTCATGGACAGTGGCAAGTAGAGGTGGGAGAACCTTTTACATGTGGGTCTTTGGATGCAGAGATAAAAGAAAACAGCTCAAATGTAAATACTCTTACATTTTTAATTTTAGTGTGGATTAACCGCCATTATTACATTATTTATTTTATTTGTAGCCATTCATTTTGCGTAAAGATACCAAATCCAGTTTTCAATGGAGAATTAGGAACCTTCCCTACCCTAAGGATCTCTTCAGTGTCTCTGTGGAGCCGTCTGACAGATGTGTAGTTGTTAAAACCTCGAACAAAAAGTGAGTCGTGGGTCTCTGTCTTACTTTACTCTTACCTATAGATGGCACTATTTACAACACAATGCAGGGCTTGTAGGTTGAGTAATGTTGACTGTGTTCTCAGGTATTATAAGAAGTTTACCATTGCTGATCTTGACCGCAGCCAGCTTTGTTTAAACAGAGATGCCCTCAGTTACACTCATGCCAACAATACTCTCATCATCAGTGTAAGTTTAACACAATGTACATATTTTCCTATGATAAGATAAAAGACTTGTTATTATCATTATTAAAAATGTTACGATATAATTCATGTAGGCTATTCTTTTATTATGGAGGTCTGTACTTTTTCTACATCCTACATTCTTTGAAAGTGATAACAGTGATGGACACAAGGGAAATGAGCAAATGTTGAAGTCATCATTTTTTTTCTCTTGTCCAGTATAAAAAACCCACGGAGATCTTAACCCTTGAGCAGGAGCTACTGAAAGAGCTGAAGAAGCTGGATGGAACCAGTGAAGGCGATGTTGACTGCAAAACTCAGTGAGCAGCGAAACACTTAGATCTATTTATGCATACATTTTGAAATGAAAGAGCTTTGTCCAAAATATGGAAAATGATAACTAATACACATTACATATATAATTTGTATTGGTCACGTAATATAGTAAATATGTTATAAATACATGTCTAATCCATTTGCAAAATCTCTCCATTGTTCTGTCTATTGCTCTAACCAAAAGTTGGAATGGATAACAGTCTCACCAGTTTGACAATAGAAGTTAAAAAATGTGGATGTTTTTGTTCAAAACTAAAGTGTTATTAAATCACTATTGCGTGCATTTGCTTTGATTACAATTATGGACATCGGTTTTAAAGACTTTCATGAGCACTAGCTGCAAATTTCGGCAATGAAGACTAACAAATTGTCCATCCAGCGCCTGCTTTGTGAAGCACATAGAGGCTGTGCAGGGTCGTTTGGCCTCTGATGGTCATGCTCAACTGCTTCTGGGAAGACTGTTTCTTTTCTGCCTCTTTTCATTGCCGAATGCCTCTTCCCAGCCATTCCCCCTCTTTCAGCCAATGCCACATTTTGCCTCACAGAGCTTGGTGCTTTCTCTCTTACTGCACCCCTCACCCCAGTCCTCACCCCTCCCTGTGTGACTGGCTCCTTTTTGATAACTGACCCCTCCTCGTGTTATTATTCAAACCTACTATTGTATAACATGCCCTTTTATATGAGCTTCCACAAAGAGCCCATTTGATCTGAGGGTTACGGTGTGCGATCGTGAGAAATGCAACTACATGGTGGTAACCTTTGTTTAGACCAAAATGGTGGGCTGACCTCATCTCTTTTAATGCATAGCTCCAGCCATTCAGGCCCAAGTCTCACTTGCTGAGCACATTGAATTCAGTAGCCTGTCACAGATATTGCCCTTCAGTTATCTGGGTCTCTGGCTTGAAAAAGGAAAAGACAACAGTTTATGCGACCTTTCAATCCTAAATCAACTTCACCATTAAGGACAAGTCTTGAAGAAATTATTTAGTGGTTTTAATATACACTCTACAATAAATATTTCCATCATTTTGTGTAATTTACATTTTTACAGTACAAAATATATTTATATATGTAGAAAAAAAGTTAAATTCTGTAAAATCTGCCAAACTGCAGTAACCATTAGGGTATCAATAGATAGCTGCCATGTCTAGCTTCATACTCCTCCCCTTCGGTTGACTAACCGCTATTCATATTTACGTTATCCCGTACTTGACTTGTATTTGTAAATACGTTTACATTAAGTCATCTGTCTGGAGGGAGTGTATAACTAGTGTATTAAAGAGTCAATGTTTACATACAATGACACAATAAATCCACAAAGCGAGGAAATGTATGGGCACTGGACTGTAAAAGTTAATTTAGCTGGGAGCACTTGACTGTGATGGTTTCTCCATAGATGTCCCACAGTGGTGCTAGAGTCAGCCGCTGCTGGAGCGATGGTGATGTGCATGTTTAGTCCGTTTGTTTGAAGGCTGCGCTGGGACGGCCAGCGGAAGAACTTCAAATGAACGTCTCTCGCTGAGCATGTGGCCCCTGGGAAGGCGCTTCATGAAGTGGGCCTCTCTCTGATGCTGCTTGGTCTTCGAGGCCCTTCTCGGGCGACCTTTACGAGTGAAAGCCATGTACCAGCCTTCATACTTGGCATTCTGCAGTGCTGTGTAGTTGTTCTCAAGAACAATCTCTGTGAAGACGCAGTCTTTACCTCTGCCTTTCCTCTAGAGAGAAATAAGGAACCACCAAGTCATCTTTTCAGGAAGGCTAAACAATTGTGTGCATTTAGCTCTTCATGCAAAGATGTCTCATCATTTAGTTTATACAATAATAAGACATTTAAAGACAAACCTTGCCAATGAGCTTTCCTCTTTTGTTCATGCATATGTAGTATCCTGTCTTTGTTCCTTTAATGCGAACCCGACTTCCAAAAGAATCTGTTTCCACCTCCAACTTTGCTGAAAAATAGAGCAAACAATGACAATGATACACAATACAAGAAAAAAGACAATGATTTTTTGCAGTGACAATAAAATGTGTTGAGAATTGTGTGGTCAGTAACATGGCCACAGAAAGGAGCAGGAGTGAAGCTGCAGATAGTCCACACAAAGAAGACAACAAGACAAAAGTGACAAAACAAAGACATGATAATCTGAGTCACATGGATTTGTAAATGACTAAAAAGTCCCACACTATACACCCGCAAAAGTGTTCACCAGACATTGGGTTGTGGCAGCGTCTCACAAAAGGTTGGTTGACAGAAAGTCACATCCAGAGGAGATTTAAGGTTTCTAAATATGACACCAATAAGTTTCCACAGTTTGGGTTTTAAAACTCTATAATTCCCAAAGTTCATAAATCATCTGCAAGTATTTTTTTTTTTACAGTGTCAGAACATTTCATTCTTTGAGTTTTCTTCTTTTATTCATTGTGTAGCTTGATTTTATAGCTTTTATATCATTAAAACAGCCTTTAAATTAAAGCTGAGTGAAATTATTATTATTTTGATTATGTATGTTTCTTTACAGCACATCATAGACATGATGTCTTAATAGACTATAAAATGACGCTCATTAGGCCATGGTTAAAGTGACTTATAACGGCCTCCTGTATGTTAGAGGTGTTGCAGATGCTGCTGTGCATTACCGTGCACGGCGCCGTCCTCCCCGTTGGCGTTGACCCTCTTGTTGCCCAGCACCTGTACGTGCTTGCCGCTGGTGCGGCTGTACAGCTGGTACGTGCGCGTCAGTCTGCGGCTCATACGGTCCGACACGCGACTCTGCTCCGTCACATGGTGCTTGAAATTAGGAGGAGACTGCACAGAGTTCTGACGGCAAACAGACACCTGTCACTACTTCAACATCTCACACAATCTTAACCCTCCACACATGACTTCAACCATCATACTAAACCCTTCCTCTTCCTCTTCTTATTGAGGAGAGACCACGAAGGCCTGAGAGTTGTTATTCATAATATTTAATAAACAAACAAATAAATAATAATACCTGTGCATAAAAGCAAAGAGCTGTGAACTGGAGTAACCTGTTGGAGAAAATATATAATGTAAATTAAATTTGACGGACGGTGTGAAATCAACTTGTCACATTCTCAGATGCGTCATTACTTACAGCCAGCCGAGCCTCGATGTTCTCAGCCTCATCTTGTAATAATTCAAGTATTGCTTCATGAATACTCCACGGAGTCTCAGCTGGATGATTTGTGGAAAGTTTCTGTACCTCCTGACGGGAGGCTTTATGTCAGATGATGTTCTCCCATGGATATGGTCTGTGGGTCAAACGAGACATCTACAGATGTCACTGTCCAGGGCAGGTGCAGAAGCACAGGCCTGCGCTCTCTCCTGCAGCCGCGTCCTGAAGGCAGAGCGGTGCTAAGCACTCACCGTGCACCGTGTTCTGGGGAAGTGTCCCTGTCTCCCGTTATTTCCATCAGCTGCGCTCCGTGTCACCCCTTTCTTCTCCAATGCAGATAAACGCAAAAACCAAAAACAAGCCTCTGTTCAGTATCACCACGAAAGTAACCGAGGTGTCAGGGAGTGTTGTTACAGTTGTCTGTGAAGTAGTAGGATGCGCTCACACAAGTCCGGCGTCCTCCCACACGCGTGTTTCTGCTGCTGTCTCTGGTCCACTTTCTCTATCCGTCCCCTAACCATTTAAATACCTAAACGTGCGGGAAAGTCAGGATCCTCTGAGAGCAGGCGGAGCGTTCCGAGCTGGAAGCAATTTGAAACTGAACACTTGTTTGAACACTTACTCGACTGCACAACTAACCTTTATCAATAATGTCATGAGGCATTATTTCCACTTATGCAGAAATGTTCTTTTCAGATCACGGTTGCAGTACACTCATTTTCCTTTTAAACAAAAATATACGCAGTCATTTTCACAACTAAACTTTGAACACTCTTTTTTTATTGCTTCACGATACATTTTCACTCACAGGAAGTGAATGCCATTCCCTGGTGATTTGATCTGATACCTGAGTCAAGAGTCATCAAGGCCTATTATTTTACCTGTACCATAAGACCACTATGGGAACCCAGTGCTCAGAGACCCAGGCTAAGTGAAAAGATATACTTCTATATAAAACAATGTGAGCTTAGTCAGTGTCATAGCTGTAAATCAGTCATTTTATCCAATGCAGGGGATTTAGAGGGTGAAAATGGGTCTGCCTTATTAGTTCCTGTGGGACGCTGTAACAAGTGATTTTGCCACCTGGAACAATTCAGCACTTTGTTCTTTCTATATTGACCCTGTGAGGCTATGCTGCATTATGTGAAATCCATGTGCATTATATCTGAACTGATAAGTATAAACTTTATTCTAATGTCTGCTTTTCATTAGAGTATTACAAACACTCTGATGCATTTAAGGCATTTTCTTATGTTTTTCAGAAAGTGTGTCGTAAACACAGAACAAATTGGTTAGGAAGCGTCATGTGATTATAGGCTGAGAGCTGATTGGTTGTTGGTTTTTCTATTTTCTCTCTAAATCGGCTGTTCTAACTCTGATCTAACTGCACGAATAAATGCAGTTAATTCTTGTCATGTTCTAAAACAGACATGTCAAATTCAGGCCCATGGGCCAAATCCGGCCCCTGACGCCATTTTAAGTGGCCTCTGAAAGGATTTTCAATTATCATTATTACCTTGCAGTATTATTATCTTGCAGCATTGATGGTAATGGGATACTATGGCATGTTATACTTCATTTTAAACCTGATTATCTCCATACAACAAACACATTGAATCTGTTCTCAATCGTCAACATTTAATTAGAAGTTAAGTTAGGCCAAAGATAAATATAGAATGTTTTAACTATGAATCTTCAAATGACATTTTTTGTTTTGTTATATTTGGCCCAGTTGTGATTGAATCCAAACCGACAAGAAAATAATATCCAAACTCATGTCAAACCACGTTTTTAAACTTGAATCCCAACCAAAATGAGTTTGACACCCTTGTTCCAAAAACAAGTTTGTGATATATTTAATGAGTTCTATAGATTTATTTCTTGCACAGAATAATTCCAAGCTGAGAAGTTATTTATAAGAAAAACTAGGGGAAATCCGTGTACCTGGTACGACAGGAGAACGAATAGACCAGGACCAGAACTGAGGCTCCCAGACCATGTGGTGAAAGGTCCCAACACACAACTACACAAAGTAAAGGACAGATCTGCCAAACCGTTCATGGTGAAAAGTCTGTGTTAATTTCATGATCAGATTGTACTCTTCATACTATTAGTATCCAATTTACATATATTCATTTATTTTTGTGTCGATAGAAAATTTGTTTCTAGTTTGTTTTTGAGGACGGGGGTTAAAAAATGAAGTTCACAGGAGTCATTGATCCAGTTTCTTGCCTCCATCTTTCAGACACAACATGCTCGGCATAACAGTCATTTGGTTAATGAAAACTGTCAAGATCTTTAGGTTAAGACTGTGCAGGCAGAAGTTAAAAGTTGGCTCTGAAACCTGATCACCATCATTTATTACTGTTATGCTGTGACTAGCTTTTGTTGCTTTGTTGACGATTAGAGGTTGACAGAAGAGGTTGTCCAGAATCTGCCCTCTCTTTCCTCTCATAGTGCTTTTCCCATGTTAACATACAGCAAATTCATACCCTCGGTATCGAAGAGAACAGTATAATGACATGGATGCACTTTGGTTATTCTTAGACGAGAAGTGACTGAATGTCTGAAAAGGCCCAAAGTAGACAACCATGCATTTGGGGTGAGCTGTATTATTCCCTTCAGCTAATGTGAGACATAAAAATACTCACACTCTTGCATAAGGCCAGAACCAGTGGAAAGGTAGACCCGAGGCGCCAGAAAAGGACAGACGAAGGAGGAGAGATGGAAAGAGGGTGGGATGAACCCGGTATCGTATGGTAGCCGGCCACCATTACCCAGACCTCAAAGTAAAGTAATCTCACTCCACCTGTTGTCAGCACGCTCTACTGCTCTACACAACAACACTATAATGTGGTGCAATAACTGCCTCTGAGCAACACCAGTCACTTACCCCACAGCAGCCCGAAAGGCAGCCTTCTCAACACTACATCCTTCAAAGTCACTTTGTTTTTCTTGGAAGATTAATAACCCCAAATGGACTTACAACATTTATTTAATGATTTTCAAGTCCAATTTAAGTTCACTTTTATGAAATCCTTATTTCAGAGAAAAACTTATTTCAAAACTTATTTCAGCCACAAACAATCACAGCCCAGTGCAGTGTAGATTCAGGATCATCTAAAATCCTCAACCAGAAGTTAAAAGGAGTCTAATTAGCAATTAGTATTGCGTTATGGAGGAAAAGTCAATACATATAATCCGGTTTTTTGTTTTACCAAATTAGTAAAATCACTAGATAAAAAAATGTTGTTTGTGTGTGTGTGTGCGTGTGTAATGTGTGCGTGTAGCCTTTTATCACTATGGCCTAAGATCAGAACTGTTCAGGGGCCATTCATTTTAGACTACACTTTTGTAAGTAGTATTTATTGTTTTCTTTTTCAGTTTTTTAAAGCTTATCTTTTCAGTACTCATTTGTCATATTCATTTTGCCACATTACAGAAATATTTGGGATGTTTTTTTTGGTAGATTTTAATGCATTTAATAATTTAGTTATGAAATATAACTAATTACATGTTTGGTTCAATGTTTAGAACACATCAAAGGATGTGTAACATGCCATGGAAGCCCACAATGACCCCTCACCATCAGTTAGTAATAATAATTGAAAACCATTTGGGGGCCACTAAAAAGGGCCGCATGTTTGACACCCCTGAACTACATCATGGTGAACTGCAGTGTGAGGGTCCTGTGCCAGGAGGGGCATATGGGGGCGGGTGCTGAGAGAGCGCCTGTGTGCTTTACTCACTGAGTCTCCATCCTAATGCCAAAGCCTGAGAAAATTGTTACGGTGAGAAATTTTGGAAAAGCCAGTCCCGACTCTGACCACAAAATTAGTTTGGAAGTACTTTCTCATGTTTGAGCAAAGCTGAGAACCTGCTCGCCTGTGTAATGGATGAAACGACTGTCTGGGAATGACCCCAGTTGCAGAAGTGATTAAGGACCCAGTTTTGCCAAAATCCCAAATGTGTTAGTAGAATGACTATGACTGGCATTCCCCATGATATTAAATAAAGAGAGCTGTGGTCTCATGACAGCTGCTCAATGCAACACCATTTTCTTTCATCCTAAGTTGGTTCATTGGATTATTAGTATTTCTTGTGCAAACAGAGGAAGGAAAAGTATGGCTGGAGAGTGTCCCCATCTGACATGAAGATGCAAAGTTTGTGTTGGCGCAATCTTATTTTTTTGCTAAAAATCTCCATTCCACATCTCTGAGTGGAGCATGATTTACTGTCTTGTAAACACATAGGAAGTAGCATTGAAAATACTTGAACAAAGTCAATAAAAGCAGACATCATTCCGAGCACGAGGGGTCTGCTGAGGGCTGGCTAGAGGCATCTGCAGTTCTGTCCATCATCACTCTCCTCTGGTTCTTCTCTATTCTTTTGCATTGTCCTTTATTCCTCCCCTTCCTCTCCATACTCTTTCTCTTGGTAAATTTTTCACCCCATGTGCGGAGCAGTGGACAGCAGAGCAATGGCTTTAGCAGACCGACCTGCAGGGCTGCTGCGGGCGGCTGCTCTGAGCGCCTCTTTTATCTGGGCTCTGGAGAAGCAGCCCCTGGCCCTGGAACAGCTGTGTGGAGCTGCAGTGAGAGCAGCACAAAAACACACAAGAAAAAGGGGAAATTCAAAGGCCCTCTGGGACCTATACCTCCACAGGTCCTCCCCCCCTCGCGCTCAGCCTTTATCTTTCACTTGTTCATGCTTGTAAGTCCATTTGCCATATCGTCAGCACAAGCTTCTTTTCATCCAGGGCTGTCCTTTGCACTACATCATCATTGCTGTAATGCAACATGTTATAAGTTACGGGTGGAGTCGACTAAACTAAGTCTGGGTCTGATCTGTCAGTCGACTATAAAGTGGGTGTATGCCTGTCAGTCACAATAAATGATGGCCGATATATACAGATAATTGTTGTTTCATTAATGGTTATTGTGATAAATGATCCCATTAAAGCATTTTGTTCCGTAGTTAATGTCATAGAAAGCATGTATTATGAAAAAAACAGCAGAAATAAGTAATATTTAGTCATATTGAACCATCTACAGCTAAAACCTCATCAAAAATAGCTCACATCTCTCAAAATGTACAGACAATAGATATTGAGGCTCAAAATGTATAGTTTTATCCATCTGGTATTGAACGATATGTTGCTACAGTAATTATTGTGACAGGCATAAGTGGGCACTGCAAATATGATGTCAATAATGATTAAATATCTGACCCAAACTTTAGTCATAAAATCTAAATGTAATTAAAAAAAAAACACTATTAAGGAATGACATTTCTGAAATATTTAGCAATTAATAAGAAAATATATTAAAGATGTGAATTGACAGTTTGATCTGGCTTGAATATCAAAGTTAATACATGTTCTTCTCCATTTCTTCTCATTTTTAAAAGTTCTTGTAAATTGAGAAAACAGTCCATTATTGTTCCTTTCTGTTTATTCAGCTCTCATCAACACTGAATTGGACTATTTGCTTTTCTCTCATTTCAGAACAAAACACATATGTCCTGTCATGTCTTATTTTGTATTTACTTGAGCAACAAACAATAATAATGTGTGTGTTTCTCAAAAGATAAATGCAGCATTTTGTGGCTTGATTTATTCACGAAATGTTTCTGTTGGGACATACAAAAAAAGATATAAGTTAGGTAGGGTAAATTAGTTAGGTGAGTATGAAAGGGATCTTTATAAGAGCTGTTCCAGTTTACAGACCAAAGTACAAACAAAGTAACCTCTCGCCTGGTTGTAATGTATTTTAGATTCCTTTCCAAGTATTCTCACCATTTATCACTTTCTACAGTTCAACATAGACTAATAACATGAACAAACGTCGTATCATATTGTTTCTAGCGGCTGCTCAGTGTAATCCACCTCTATGCAACTAATGAAACAAACACCAACGAAAGCACTTCTCATCCACTGATTCATTAACAGTCATTTGATCACGATTAAGTGCACATGTTTTAGGAGCCAAACTTTATTGATCCCCGGTGTTTCTCTGAGATCAGCGCTCTTTACTCCTCCACAATTTATGTATCATTTATTAACCTTTATTTAACCAGTAAAGTCCTCTGAGAATTCAGAAGTTGGGTGGAGGAGGGTGTTATGGGAGACTATTGTACCAGTTTTTAGTGGTAGGGGAGTTTGGAGCTTCTAGAGGAAACCCACGCAGGCACAGGGAGGACATGCAAACTCCACTCAGATAGCCCCTGTTCCGACCCGTATTCAAACCCATTTTTGCTGCGAAGTGAGGGTGTTACCATGCCAACCTGCCTAGAGATGGGCTGAGCATTTTAACATTTTCACTTATCTTAGTCCATCCATCTGTATGTAGTTGTTTGCTTCTGTCAGTGTGCCCCAGGAGCAGCTGTGGCTACTGTATTTGTTCATCACCACTGTGTTTGGAGTGAATGAATAATGACATGTGAAGCGTCTTTGAGTGTCCACAAAAGTGCTATATAAAAACTGATATAGGGTACCATAGTTTATAGGAGCTGTATCAGTTATTTTATGGTTTGTTACTCTAATGTTTGTTACTCTACTCTAGCTGCAGCTACTTTCCATCTGTAGTCCCTGGGCAGGTGAAAACACATACCTAACTTACACACATCACAAATATAAAAACAAACTTACCTCACTACCTAATGTTGTTATTGTGTATTTTACAAGTTGTATTTACTCTTAGATATTAAGTGCTGACTATGGAGCGTGAAGGTTGCGGACTCGGATCCCAGTAGCCTGGTAAGAGGACTCATGTTGACTTTATCTCTCCAATGCCGGCTGGCTGCACTGGGACATGCAATTAGTAACCAGGCCTATGTGTGAATGGTTATCTGTCTGAAAACGCTAACCCAATGATTAACTATAAGTGTCCTGGGTGTAGCCCGGCTCAGAGCCAAAGTCAGGGGAGTGAATGCCCGGCCCCCTTCTGTCATGTACAATAGTTGTGATTATTGAGGCGGCAAGGGTGTTTCTTTTTGTCGTTTGCATCCACTTTAGACTATCCAGGCGCAGGGCTGGCTGTACACTCATATATAAACTACATGGGAAGCTGGAAGCAGTAGCATAAAGTAAAACTCACAAACAATTACAACATTGTCATTTGAACATAAGTCCCGCCATTTTTAATCGCTTCAACCCCATCCCCATCCCCTTTTCCATTATAAATCACTTAATTTATTGCACATAGTTGAAGAAGCTCAAGTATGTGTTTGATCTGTCCTTGTTACATTTCTGTTACCCCTCAGCCCAGCCTACAATGTGTTTTTCACATAAGAATGTAAATCAAAGACAGCAACACATGTTTTTATACTTGAAATGCTTGAATGTAAAGATGCCTTTACTTACGGCACTCATATTCAGCTTCTGCATTACATCCATCAAAATGCACCAACATGATCCACGAACAATGTCCAGATCACATCACGAGCACAGGACAACACAAGCATTCCGTGTAGCATTTTCTCAACTATTTTAAAAGCCATTTAACAAGGGCAGATTTAATAGTGCTATAGTAACACTTGTGGATTTGTGGGTAAGTACTCCAACAGTGCTGCCACAGAAATGATGTAAAAAACTGACCCACAGATCACCTGGGCCTGTTCCCCAGCTTACTCCCTCCCTCGCCCTCTCCAGGGACCTGCAAGAGTCCTAAAATGTGGAATAAAAAAAGCTGAAGAGATGAGAAATATGCGTGGCAGGGCAGCCGTTTAGCACGAGCGGCTACAGCTACAGAGTCATGGACAGTCCGGTTGTGTT